TGTAATCGTAAGTTACAGCTTGGATCAAGCTCTTTGAGAAACTTAACACGAGGCCTTGGATGTCACCATTGCAACAATTCTATTATTTCCAATTTCAAAACTGGAGGAAATCTGAAGAACTATAGGTATAAAACCTCAAGTATCACATAAGTAACTAATTAATTGTATGAGATATTATGCAGAAGAAGTAATAATAAAATGTGACAAGCATTTTGAAATACTTTTGTGGAAAATACATGTCTTACCCAACCAAATCAGCAGCAAGAACAGATCGCAACAATTCTGATCGAGATGGCAGTGTCCTATGTATTTCTGAGGAAGGAAAAGGTGTGTGGAGAAACCAACCAACTTTCATTTTGTTGTTATGTTCTTTTAGGCATTTAGGAAGAAACATGAGGTGGTAATCGTGGCACCAAACAACATCTCCATCCAGGTAGTGTTTGTGTACAACATCAGCAAACATTTGGTTTGCCTTCTTATATGCATCAAACTGAGATTGGAAACTTCGGGTGGTTGCAAGGCGGTCTTCTTGTGGAAGTCCAAGATAATGGAAAAGTGGCCACAAGATGTTGTTACAATAACCATTGTAATATTGATGAACAATTTCTTCGTCAAGAAACACTGGGATGCACCTCTGCAATAAATAAATTAAAGTTTTTCTTCCTTGATGCATAATCAAACAGCTTGTATGTCTGTGTGTGTGTGTGTGTGTGTGTGTGTGCAACATCCCAGTGTGTCCGTGTTATGAGGTATGTGGGAAGGGGGCAGAGGTGACATTATAGATGGCCAGCTTACTAGCTTGAATTCTATGAAAATTTCAAGAGGAGATCAAGAGTTTTGAACCTTTTCAGCTAAAGCTTTAGTCAGTGCTTTTTGTCCAACACCATCAGGTACATTTACACCAGCCCAACCAATCCATCTTGCATCAAACTCCTTCACGCCTTCAAGAAAACAACAAAGCTTAATATAACGTTTGATTTATGCCATTATGGAATTTAACACATGCATTAAACAAATGAAGGAAAGAAAAATGGTGCAAACACTATTATCTGTAAACCTAAAGTAAGCTCTTTAAGGTACTAAAAAGAACGCAAATAAAATAAAAAGGACAGCATGCACTGAAAACAAGAAGGATAAGACCAGATGATTATTATCATTTACCTAAAAGTGCACTGACTAGCCCTCCTACACTCATCTCAAGCTGCCATGAGTCCTCACCCTTCCTAACTGCAGAGACAGGTAACCTGTTAGCCACCACCAATAAACGTTGCTTAGGAGTCCGTCCCTCTTTCCATTCACATCCATCGGCAAAAGCTTTTGCCGCAGCAACCCCTTCAGGAAAATCTTCCTCACTAGATAGACCAAAATTTTCACCCTCAGTCAAAAAATTATCATTCCCTAAGAGTTCTGCCTGTCTGTTTCCATCTTCAATTGGATGCAAAAAGCGGTTTGA